GTATTTATGCCAAATGTGTGAATGAAGTGAATGAAAATACATCCTGCATCTCAGATATTTACATTATGATTCATAACAGGAGCAAAATTACAGTTATGAAGTAGCAATGAAAATAATGTTATGTTTGCGGGTCACCACAACATGAGGAACTGTATTAAGGGGTAACGGCATTAGGAAGGCTGAAAAATACTGTCCTAAATGTATTTGAGTGGAGATTTGCCCAGTGGCTGAAATTTGCCATGTCCTAAAAAATGGAATGCATATTTTCAAAGGCAACCAGAGCGTATCCAAATGTCAGAATTTGAAACATTGCCCTTGTGCTGTCGTACGCTGGGCCTATAACAATTGGCTTTTGAACAGGACGTGCTCTTTGTGCCCAGCGGGAAGCCAGGGGGCCTCAGATGAGAGGCCCTATGGGTTTTCCTATACAAAGTCTTTAGAGGCTTAAAAGTTTAACAAAGTTCTTTATTATTGCTTAGGTCTTCAACAAACAATTTTATTTATTTATTTATTTATTTATTTATTTACAGCTTTTATATTCCGCCCTTAGATCTTCAACAGATCAAACAAATGCTTCTTAACTTGTCTACAATGGACAGGCAACTTGCTTGGAGAACAATTTCTTTCCTTTACGAGGAAAACCCTTTTTGACCCCTCCTTGGGCAATCTGTTTTCTAGGCTTTGCTGGTGTGGGCTCTACTCCCAGCTCCAAATTGCTTCTTGGGTACCCGAGTAGACCTACCAGCCAAGGCTCTGAAGAATTTCCAGCTGGAGTCCTTAGGAATTTTCCCACGAAAGTTGTAGGTCTGTTTCTCCAACCCCAACAAGGGTTGTGCTGTAAAGCTGTTTCTCTTAAAAGCCTTTCTTTAGAGGCTGTTCTTAAAGCTGTGAGGCTTTAAATTCCCCAGCCAGAGCTTTTGGGACTGTTATCCCCTGGACTTTGTAAGAAACGAAGCTTCTCTACAGGTAGAAAACTTTCACGTCCTGTAGCTGAGCTTCCAACTGTAAGACTGAACTAAAATGGTTCCCTTTCCCTCCTGAACATGAAAAAAAGGGCGGAACTAAACGATGATAGACAGGTGGCTAGCCCCATGACTGCAGCCTAGCAGGAACCATCCAACTGCAAAATGCATGGCCAGAACAAGCACATGCAAACGCTCAAAGAACGAAAGGGAGTTTGGAGCTCCTGGTACAGCCGAACCAGCACAGCCCTCAATTTCTATATTTCTAAAGTTTGTTTATGTTTCTCTACACTGTTTGTGGCATTTGAATCTAGGTCTTCAGAGTCTTTGACCTTGATCTCTTCGTGGAATTAGAAAATTGCAAGAAATAGAGCTGCAAAATGAGGAAACCACCCCGTGATCTAGGCACAATATAGAGTTAATGCAGTATGAGTGGGAATTTTGTAGTGAGACTTGCTATTTTTCAAAAAGTTCTCAATGGACTAAAAAAAACCCACCAAAACAAATGAAACCTGCGTAATTTCCCGTTCACATAGCTCTTCCACATCCACCCACGGAGATTTGCAAATGTAGGTTACTTCACCTCGGGCTTAGGAGTGGGTTCTGACTGAAAAAAGAAGTAACTTGTTCATGCAAGGATATATTTAGAAGGAAATAGTAATTAGTAGCATTTTTTTCCTTCTCTATTTTTAGAGAAGAAGAAGAAAAGGGCATGTTTGTACACATTCCACCACGGCTGCATCTACGTGCAGTGTAGAATTAATGCTGTTGGACACCGCTTGAACTGCCATGGCTCAATGCTATGGGATCCTGGGATTTGCAGTTTGGTGAGGCACCAGCACTCTTGGGCAGAGAAGCCTGAAGGCCTTGTGAAACTACAGTTCCCATGATTCTACATCATTGAGCCATGGCAGTTCAAGTGCTGTCAAACTACATTAATTCTCCAGTGTAGATGCCTACGGAATTCAAATATTTCTAATTTGGGGAGGTACTTTAGAATGCTGAGTGAATGAAACTATATATTCCAAGCTTCTGTTGGAGCAGCATCTCTCAACCTGGGGGTCCAGACCCCTGGGAGGTCGTGAAAAGGTTTCAGAGGGGTCACCAAAGCCCATCAGAATGCATATATTTCTGATGGTCTTAGGAACCCCTTTGGCAAAGAAGGCTGAAGATTTCTCCGCCTGTCCTTCTCTTCCTTTTTGGAAACATACGCGAATCCTCTCACCAAAAACCATCCTTTGCCGTGATTGGCCAGCCTCTCAGCCAAGGGGAGGGCTTTTTCTGAGACTCCAAGGGAGGGGGGAGAGCAAGCATGCTTAGCGCATGGTACCGCAGTGCGTGGGGTGCGAGAGAGCGTGCAAGGTTGGAGGGAAGCTTTCCCCAGTATGTCCCTTCAAGCCAGGGGAGTTCTTTTTTGTATGTGTCAGGAGTGAATTGAGAAGCTGCAAGTCGCTTCTGGTATGAGAGAATTGGCTGTTTGCAAGGACATTGTCCTGAGGACACCTGGATGTTTTGATGTTTTACCATCCTTGTGGGAGGCTTTTCTCATGTTCCCACATGAGGAGCTGGAGCTGACAGAGGGAGCTCATCTGTGCTCTCCCCAGATTCGAACCTGTGACCTGTCAGTCTTCAGTCCTGCTGGCACACGGGTTTAACCCATTGCACTCTTGTGCTGGCAGGATTGCTGACCGAAAGGTCAATGATTCATATCCGGGGAGAGTGGGTTATGCTCCCTCGGAGAGTTCCAGCTTCCCAAGCGGGTACATGAGAGAAGCCTCCCATATGGATGGTAAAACATCAAAACATCCCAGCATCCCCTCGGCAACGTCCTTGCAGGCGGCCAGTTCTCTCATACCAGAAACAACTTGCAGTTTCTCAAGTCGCTCCTGACATGAAAAAAAGGCACCACGAGGGGGAAGGGGGTTCTCTGTGGGAAGTTTGGCCCAATTCTATCATTGGTGGGGTTCAGAATGCTCTTTGATTGCAGGGATATTGTACATCCCAGCAACTACAACACCCAAATGTCAAGCTCTATTTTCTCCAAACTCCACCAGTGTTTACATCTGGGCATATTGAGTATCCGTGCCAAGTTTGGTCCGGATCCATCATTGTCCATCTTTTTTTTTGAGTCCACAGTGTTCTCTGATGTAGGTGAACTACAACTCCAAAACTCAAGGTCAATGCCCACGAAACCCAGAATTTTCTGTTGGTCATGGGAGTTCTGTGTGCCAAGATTGGTTCAATTCCATCTTTGTTGGAGTTCAGAATGCTCTTTAATTGTAGGTGAACTATAAATCCAGGCAACTACAACTCCCAAATGACAAAATCAAGCACCCACAACCCCACCAGTATTCAAATTTGAGCGTATTGTGTTTTTGTGCCAAATTTGGTCCAGTGAATGAAAATACATCCTGCATATCAGATATTTACATGACGATTCACAACAGTAGCAAAATTACAGTTATGAACTAGCAACGAAAATAATTTTATGGTTGGGGGTCACCACAACATGAGGAATTGTATCAAGGGATCAAGGCATTAGGGAGGCTGAAAACCACTGCATTAAAGTTACTCATGTTGCAGTGTGTATCATCTTTGGCAGCAGATTTCAATTTTTGTGTTTATTCCCAGACCATAATAATAATAATAATAATAATAATAATAATAATAATAATAACAACAACAACAACAACAACAACAACAATAATAATAATAATAATATAAAATAATGTGTGTTGCAAGTACACGCATTACAATTATGTGTCCTTGCAACACAGAACACAGAGGTTACTTTCGAAAATTTAACCCAGGGGTCCTCAAACTATGGCCCAGGAGCCAGATACGGCCCTCCAAGGTCATTTACCTGGCCCTTGCTCAGGGTCAATCTAAATCTGAAATGACTTGAAAGCACACCAAAACAACAATCCTAATACATCAGCCAAAAGCAGGCCCACACTTCCCATTGAAATACTAATGTTTATATAAATATAGTTCTTCATTTTAATTATTATTTTAAGTGTTTTTTTGCACTACAAATAAGATATGTGCAGTGTGCATAGGAATTCATTCATGTTTTTTTCAAATTATAATCTGGCCCTCCAACAGTTTGGGGGACTGTGACCTGGCCCTCTGTTTAAAAAGTTTGAGCACCCCTGGTTTCACCCATTGCGCCACCAGGAGCTCCATTAGAGGAAGTCTTTAATTCTTAATAGGGTTTGCTATTATTTACAGTTTTGTGCATCCAAACAAAGTCCAACTCTGTCTCCTCCATGGAGCATACATAATATATTCAAACTCCACCACTAAATATGTGAATTGCTTCCTCCTGTGTTCAGCTTTGGGGGGAAAAAAATCTGCAATTGTTTCTATTCAATCAACAAGAATTGAAAAGTTCCTATGAATAGCAAAGCAAAGAAAATGCTCAGCAATATGTACCCAAATCTGGGGAGTAGCATGAACTCCTGCTGATAGCCCCAGCTTCTGCTAACCTAGCAGTTCGAAAACATGCAAGTGTGAATAGATCAATAGGTACCACTTCTGCAGGAAGATGACGGTGCTCCGTGCAGTCATGCTGGCCACAAGATCTTGGAGGTGTCCACGGACAACGCTGGTTCTTCGACTTAGAAATGGAGATGAGCACCAACCCACAGAGTCGGACACAGTTGGACTTAATGCCATGGGAAAACTACCTTTACTTTATGTACCCTTTAGAACACAGCAACTAAATTTCACAATTGCACTGATTCAGGGGCATTCTCTTGTATTGTCAGTAGTTTCCTAGCAATTCTGATCTGCACAATATAAATTCTGGACTGGTTTCTGGTCTGCACGAATCCACAAAACCTAATGCCATAATAAACCTGTTACTTCTCAAGATGCCTCTTTTTGACCTGCCCTCATTCACCTCCACTTGCACAGAACATACCCACTTCCATCCTCCTACCTCTATATTATTTTTATCTATCCCCAAAATGCCCCCAATGTATCGCTTCCCCAGCAAAAACCCACAACACTGAAGGAAATAAAAGACATCCTTACCAAACTCTGGCCAACAGCAAGGATGTGTTTTGCAGCAAGAAGAAAAACTTGGTGGAACGGTGCTTCTGCTGCGGCCTTACGTCACACGATGACAGATGACTGGGAAAGATTAAGAGGGAGCCGCTTGGCCCCTTTAATATCATCTCTGACACATTGGAGGTCACATTGGGTTCCTTGCCACGACTCCCTTTCCGTCAAAGCGGTGAAGTAACACACACATGCTAAGGCAAGAGTGCAGCCGGAGGCCAGGCTTATTTTGGGCAGCTTGAGACCTATTTCGGAAAGTTCTTGGCAGCCGATCGGGTCAGGTTTCTGGCAAGAATGGATGATTCCTCCCTGGGCAATCCATTCTGCAGTGAGGATAAGAGGGGGAGGTATCAGAAAGAAAGGAATCAAAAGGGTAGTTCAACACACTTTGGCATTTGGCCCTTATGACTCCTGGTTTTGGGCATGCCCATTGGAGACCACCTATCCCAAACAGTTTGTTCTTTCTCTCAAAAGAATGAAAGGGTTCCTGAACTCTGCACAAGAGAGGGACATACAGCCATACATCTACACTCGCTGGGGTTAGAGACAAAAATGCAAACCTCACAAGACTCTAAAAACCTTGTAGTAGTAGTAGTAGTAGTAGTAGTAGTAATAAGGACCGGGTTGTGGCGCAGCTGGTTGGGAGTCAGCTGCATTAAAATCACTACTAACCGAAAGTTAATGAGTTAGAAGCCAGCCTGGGTCAGAGTAAGTTCCCGACCATTTGTCTAGCTTGCTGTCGACCTTTGCATCTCGAAAGACAGTTGCATCTGTCAAGTAGGAAATTTAGGTACTGCTTATGCAGGGAGGCTAATTTAACTCATCTATATAAATAAAAATGTAATGTTCGTTTGTGGGATTAACAGAACTCAAAAACTACTAGACTAATTGACACAAGACACCTAACAACCCAATGTATGTCCTTCATTTTAAAAAAAATTGGTTTTGTCATTTGTGAGTTGTAGTTGCTGGGATTTATAGTTCACCTACAATCAAAGTGCATTCTGAACTCTACCAATGATGGAATAGAACCAAACCTGGCACGCCGTTCTCCCATGACCAACAGAAAATACTGAAAGGGTTTTGTGGGCAGTGTCCTTTGATTTTGGAGTTGTAGTTCACCTACATCCAGAGATCACTGTGGACTCAAACAATGATGGATCTGGACCAAACTCTACACACCCCCAGCTCCTTCAAGGTCAGTCCAGTCACTTCAAGGATGCCATCCATCCATCTTGCCCTTGGTCGGCCCCTCTTCCTTTTGCCTTCCACTTTCCCCAGCATAATTGTCTTCTCTAAGCTTTGCTGTCTCCTCATGATGTACTTCAACTTTGTCTCTAGTATATGATTTACACACACACACATATAAGTATATGACAGATATAGTATCATAGATTTGAAAGGAACGCCTAAAGAAGGACCATGATATGTTGCATGTTCCAGAGTAGACAAACCAGACAATCTCTACATCACACTGGCAAAGAAACAACAAGAAATACTGTTTCCCCACAAGCATAAAGAAATTACATATATTAGAAACCAATACTTTCTCATTACTTTGTTTTCCACATCACCTGACTGGGCCACAGCAACACTTGGCAGGGGACGGCTAGTTTTAAATAAAGTTTCAGTGTCATCCTTTGCTTACAGAAGGTGTTAGGATTTGTTACCACTTTCCTCTGCCTGTAAAAAATGATACTCTCCTGACAAAAGCATTAAGGCTCTTCTATTTGCAGACAGGAGTGCTCTCTGCTAGCAGAAAGGTTTTTGTACCAGCAGCTAGAACTAACTGATAGCAGAACTGCTTGCAAAACTAAATAAAGGACAGAGAGGGCATGAGAAGAGCCAGATTATGCCAGCTCTGAACCTTCTCCATCCTAGGGACACAGAGAGGCCTGTAGCGAGGGGGGGGGGGTTAGGGGTTCAACACCCCCCCCCCCCGAAATTTTTCAGGTTAAAAAAAATCTGGTTTACTCATGAATTTTAACTGGTTAACCAAATCCCCATGCTAAGTCTATGAGACGCAAAAAATTAAGAGTCCCTCCAGAACTGCAAGCACTATCTCAAGCAAATATTAACAATTTATTCACACTGTCATTACTTGCAGCCATAGCCGATGTAGCGAAGCAACCAAGTTGGGGTGGGGGGTGGGTGGGTGTTGAATGCTCTCATTAAGGAGGCCAGACTTGGTGGAGGTGGTTGACAGGGACAGAGCTGCAGGCTATTGAAGGCTGCTCTGCCCTTGCGGCTATTGAAGGCTGCTCTGCCCTTGCTGTGCTCTTTGATTCAGCGTGAGCTAAGAGGCAGGTTTCAACTCCCCCTCCCCCCTCCCCCGAATTTTCAACTCTCCCCGAAATTTTTTTCTGGCTACGGCCCTGGACACAGATAAAACTCCAGCACAAAGTTAGGCAGGAGCAAAGGGAATCCTAAGCAATTTCCAATATCCCTAGGACAAGAAGGATTCAGCAAACGTAGCATTTCAGGATTTCAGTAAGGCCTTTCTTCGACAAGGTCCCCAATGACCTTCTGGCAAGGAAACTAGTCAAATGTGGGCTAGGCAAAGTACGGTTAGGTGGATTGGTTAAGTGATCCTAAATCCAGAGAAGTCATGCATGTGCATATGGCAGGGCTCAGGCTGCACTGTAGTGGTTTGCTCTCCTCCACACTCGCATGTCGTGGACTCCACTTTGTGGCCCCATTTCTTAAGACTGGCTCTGCATCTCATGGTGCCAGAATACAGCCTGTTCAGCATCAACCAAGTCCCCAGTCTTCTGTGTGCCCAGGGGGAGTCTCTCATTGGGTATCAGCCATGGATTGAAGTTCTGGGTTTTTGCCTGCCACTTTTGGACTCTCGCTTGCTGAGGTGTTCCTGCAAGTATCTCTGTAGATCTTAGAAAACTGTTTCTTGATTTAAGGTGTTGGCATGCTGGCTGATATCCAAGGTCACTGCCAGGGTTGCTAGCTTCTGTGCAGCAGAAATAGCTTGTCGGCGCAAGATGCTGTCACAATTGTAGAAAGTTTTAATATTTATTTCAGTTTTACCATTGTCATTTTAGCATCTAAATGTTTAATACTATCTTATTCAATACTGAGTTTTTAACTTTGCTTTGACATTGTTTCTTAATACCCAAATGTATATGTGCCTATCCTGACGTTTGTACATTTTTTTGATGCTGGTCATTGACCATAATAAATCTTGTATGTATGATATCCAAACAGGATGGACCGGAGATGTCACTGCCTTGGTCCTTTCATTATTGGCTGAAACATCCTGGCAGATGTCAGTTTGCGCGATACCGGCTAAACAGTATAATTTCTCAAGCAGTGTTGGACATCGACATTCCGTGATAATGTGGCATGTCTCATTAAGAGCCACATCCACTGTTTTAGATATGTGTTCCACACTAGGCAAGCGTACTCAGCAGCAGAGTAGCAAAGCACAAGGGCTTTAATGACTGAGCTGGTGATAGTATGCATCCATGCTGTTTAGTAGGTATTACAGAAGACTCAAAATATGCCTATACAGATTGAGCATCCCTTATCTGGACTTCTGAAATCTGAAATACTCCAAAACCAAAATTATGTACTTGGGTCCCACCTCCAAGATACGAGAGTTGAATTCCTATTTTTCAGTAATTCCTACTAGTATGCGGCAGGTACTGGCTTATTCAGTAGACTCTCCTCTACAGTTCCATTTTGGTGGGAAGCCTTAGCATTGAACGGTTGGGTTGTTAAAGTGTGAAGTATGGAACCCTGTGCAGACGGTTGGTCAATATAACTTAAGCAACGTGCAGTCATTGAATTCTTGACAGCAGAACGTGTCACCCCAAAGGAGATTCATCAGAGAATGCAAGCTGTTTATGGTGATTGTGTTGATGTGAGTACTGTGAGTTGTTGGACAAGTAAATTTAAAGATGTTGAGGTGGGAACATCTGACTTGCATGACAAAGAGTTGGACATCCTGTGACAGCAACCACCGAGTTTCACAAGCAAAAGGTTGACAGATTGATTCAGGAATCGTTGTATCACTCAGAGAGAAATTTCAAGCATAATCGGCATTTCACAATAATGTGTGGGTCAGTATCTCGGGAAGTCTGACTTGGCCACGGTGGTACACGCTCTGGTCACATCCCGGCTTGACTACTGCAACGCTCTCTACGTGGGGCTGCCCTTGAAAACGGCCCGGAAGCTTCAGCTGGTTCAGCGTGCGGCAGCCATGTTACTAACTGGAGCGGGATACAGGGAGCACACAACCCCCTTGTTGTCCCAGCTCCACTGGCTGCCGATTTGCTACCGGGCCCAATTTAAGGTGCTGGTGTTGGCCTACAAAGCCCTGAACGGCTCCGGCCCAAAATACCTTTCAGACCGCATCTTGGCCTATGAGCCCACGAGGACCTTGAGATCGTCTGGGGAGGCCCTTCTCTCGATCCCGCCTGCCTCACAGGCACGCCTGGCGGGGACGAGAGAGAGGGCCTTCTCAGTGGTGGCCCCCCGGTTGTGGAACACTCTCCCTACAGACATCAGGCAGGCGCCCTCTCTTTTGTCCTTCCGAAAAAGCCTCAAGACGTGGCTGTTCGAGAGGGCATTTAATTAAGTGCTATAGTAATGTGGTAAAGACGACTGGAATGGTACAAGGAATACGAGATTGGTCACGATTCTATTACGAGACGAAGCGGATTAGTTAGTGTAATTTTAACTGTTGTATTGTTGTATGGTTAATATGCTGTTGTACTTGTCTTTGTGTGAATTGCCTTTTGTACTGTACACCGCCGTGAGTCGCCCGAGTGGGCTGAGAATGGCGGTTAATAAATGCTCCAAATAAATAAATTATTGCTTTGCTTAGCTATCAGAAGATCTGTGCACGATGGGTATCCAGGATGCTAACACCTGAAATGAAAACTTCCATGACTACTTCAGAAAACTTGTTCATCATTGACAGAAATGTATCCAATTGTCTGGTGATTATGTGGTAGTGAAAGAGCACATTCGAAGGATTATTTCTGCGTTTGATTTATTAAAATATTCCCATCCAAATCCAAGTAACGAAGGTGGAGGCATTACTTTTCATTCAACCCTCTTATGTATATACAAATAAAAGAATTCCAAAATCTGAAAAGAAATTCAAAATTTAAAATACGTTTGATTACAAGCAATAAGGGACAC